AGACCTGGTGCCCCTGGCGGCAGGGGAACACCACACGGTAGTTGTCTCCAACTTAGGCCAAATCTGGGCAGCAGGCCTTAACGACGACGGCGAGTTGGGCACTGGTGGCACTGAACGGCAGCATGCCTTTGTGCATGTAGCAGTTGGTGGCAAGAAGATCGTGGTCGTGGCTGCTAAATTTTGTCACACCGCCGCTATCACGGACTCTGGCGAGCTCTGGACCTGGGGCTGGAATGTTGCTGGCCAGCTTGGCATCGGAGACACTGAGAATCGCCATGCCCCAGTCAAGGTGAGCGTGAACGGCCAGAAGATCGTGGCCGTTGCTGCTGGAGAAAGCCACACTGCTGCAATCACGGACTCTGGCGAGCTCTGGACCTGGGGCTGGAATGTTGATGGCCAGCTCGGCATTGGAGACACTGAGATTTATCGCCATGCTCCAGTGAAGGTGAGCGTGAACGGCCAGAAGATCGTGGCCGTTGCTGCTGGAGATGTTCACACCGCTGCGATCACGGACTCTGGCGAACTGTGGACCTGGGGCCACAATGGTGCTGGCCAGCTTGGAATTGGGGACACCACAGATCGCCACGCTCCAGTGAAGGTGAGCGTGAACGGGCAGAAGATCGTGGCTGTGGCTGCTGGATTTCGGCACACCGCTGCGATCACGGACTCTGGTGAGCTGTGGATCTGGGGCGACAATGGTGATGGCCAGCTTGGAATTGGGGACACCACAGATCGCCATGCTCCAGTGAAGGTGAGCGTGAACGGCCAGAAGATCGTGGCCGTCGCCGCTGGAACATACCACACCGCCGCGGTCACGGACTCTGGCGAGCTGTGGACCTGGGGCTACAATGGTTATGGCCAGCTCGGTGTTGAAGCCACCGCGGATCGCGCTGCTCCGGTCCAGGTGAATGTGAACGGCCAGAAGATCGTGGCCGTGGCTGCTGGATCTTGGCACACCGCTGCGATCACGGACTCTGGCGAACTGTGGACCTGGGGCGACAATAATGCTGGCCAGCTTGGCGCTGGGGACACCAGGGATCGCCACTTGCCGGTGAAGGCGGCGGCAGTGCCGGCCAGGGTTAGCGAGACTCATATTCCACTGTGCTGGTTTCGGGGGCGCCGTGCATCAAGTTCGTTGGGCGAGGCCTTCCTGGCTGTAAGATGGGGATCGAAGATTCCCGTGCCCCGTGAGTGTGGCGTGATGCGCAGCCAGCTTGCTGCTTTCCTGCAGAAGTGCCGCGTGCATGTGGGCGCTTGGGAGGCAACACCATGCCCCGCGGGCTCTTTCTGTCCGAAGCAGGTCGCACACTGCACAGGTGCGCAGCGGTGCCCGGCGGGTTTCTTTTGCACCTCGCCTGAACATGTTGCCATCACAGGGCGTCGTGTGAGATGTGCGCAAGAAGGTCGCTTGGACGACTGGTCCCTCACGAGGATCGCGCCCGATAAACATGGATACTGAACCGAGGCACCGAGGGAGCGGTGGCACCGACACCGTGCAAAGCTGGGGTTTGGTGCCCGGCCGGGAGCACAGGGCCTCCCATCAACGAAGGCCACTCGGGTGCTTTGCTGACATGTCGTGTCTCTTAAGTCGTCTCGGCAGCCAAACCGTGTCTGCTTTTCCATTCTGCATCCTGGTCTTGAGGCTTGTTTTCCAAAGATCTCAAGATGCGAAAGACTTCGCTTCTCAGACAGGCCTTCGCACATTCACTCATTGTCAGCGCCTGTTCATATATCTTCCCAGCTCTTTTGCGGCACCTGTGTTTATGTCTGTGTGAAGCAAGTACAGCTGGCATTGCTCTGGGCTTAGCACTAGCACGAATCGAGCCTCGCAGTTTCTTATGCCGAAGCCTAACCCCGAACCGTGAGTTCGATATCGCCCAGTGGTGTTTTGGATTCCCTGCGAACCCCGAAGCCTTTGGAGGCGTCGCTGGCGAAGATGGGTCTGCTGGCGGAGAGAGCAAGAGGCGCAGAGGGAGAGAGAGAAGCAGACAAGTTCGTACATACATGCGCCATAGCAAAAGCAGCCGAAGCAGCAATGCTGGATAAACCGATGTGTGTACACACAATTCTGTACATTCGTGTATGTAGGCTGCTGCTCGGCACGGCTTACGAAATTTCCCTTCGTAGCCAGCTGCATTGCTCCTCGGTCAGGTGGCGGGGACGACTTCCGTGGTACAGAAGCCCTGGGCATTTGGCCTGGCGTAGTGATCGTCTCGGCCCTGTCTGCCATCTCCTTCAGTGTTTTCGTTGGCTCTTTTTGGTGTAGCAGCCCGGTGACACAGTACGACCATTGCGGGCGGAGAGTTCTAAAGATTCGCTCCCCCAACAGCATCTCCATCCACGACGTGTCTGTGCACCACTTTGGCCTCCGTGTGGAGGTATACTTTGGCCGCAGGGCCGCAAAGCCCCGGGTAGTGCAAACGCAACTTCGCTCGTCGTGCGAAACCTTCGAGTTCCGGCAGTCCGAGACGGTGATGGAGGATGGCTTCCTCTATCTGCACTTTGCTGAAACTGTAGAGCGGAAGTACGAGTTCCCGGCTCCGGATGATGGAGGGAACTGGGGTCCGGGCGCAAAGGTGCGGTGCCAGCCCCTGCGTCCTTGAACGGTGGTGGGGTCGTCGCCAAGCTCATCTCGAAGTATGGGCGAATATGAACCACGAGTTTCGTCTTTGAAGCCGCGAAGAAAAGGTATTGTACCACTCTGCGAACGCTTGCTGGGCGGTGCTGTTGCAGATGTTCGTGCTCAAGCCAATCCGAAACCAGTAATCCCTAGCAACTCTAGCAGCTACAGCCTTTGAGCCCCGGAGCCCGAATCCCGAAGCCCGAAGGGCCTCCTCTGCGATAGGCTTGACCGGGCCTTTCTGTGCTCTTGAAGACTCTACCGCGGATGTCGCAGCAATCGGTAGGTCCACGTGCTCCAGGAAGTTTTACTGCAAGTGGGCCATGTCATCTGAAAAATCAAGAGCATCACAGCCCCATATATAGATATCGATGGGGTAGATAAAGGGCAGAAAATGATATAGGTATACATACATATACACATAGGTATGTTCCTAAATCGACAAGTTCTTGTGACGTAGCGATCGCACCCGTGCATGAGCAGTGCTAAGTTATTCGGCATGTTGGTCGCGAATTAACAGGCACTGTTCGATGTTCGAGCCTTTCATGCAGACACGCAGCTGCTTGCGGAAGGCGAGCCTCGGATGCAACGGAGAAGGCGGGTTCTGTGACTTACAGCTTGTGTGACGACAAGAACCTCAGAATGGACAGAGTTCTGTCCGTTGAAGATAGGTTGCTTCGGCACCAGCTCCCAAGCTCAATCGTTGTGATGATGGCCCGGAAGCGCACCCTAATGCGATCACGTCAACTTAGTGCCAGGCAGCAACATCCAGGCCAGCCGAGGGCCGACGAAGAAGTTTCAGTAAAGAAGCTGCTCTACAAGGTTTCGACGGAAGATCTCCTGAGATCCTCGTTAACTTTGCCTTGCCCTGCCTGAGAGCCTGTTAGTGGAGTCGGTGTAGCTGCTGTGCGAGGTTTTCAGTTGGCATGGTCGTTGCTTGTCGAAGCCGGCAGGGGTCGCTTCCGAAAAGAGATCGAGGAAGCTGAGAGGCCCGGCATGGCCCGGGGCCGGAGCGCTTTTTCCTGTGGAGTTCCCTGCCGCGGCTGCGAGGCTGACCTTCGGAAAGTACAACGGCCTGACCTTCAGGGAAGCCCTGGCGAAGCAGCTCAGCAAGCAACAGCTCGATTACGGGGCTTTCTGCTTCGCCGCACTCGGTGCAGTCGGTGCATTCAGTGCATTCTGGTGTGAGTGTAGTGCTCTATAGGGCTCGCTGCCCGAGGGATCCCGGCTATGCGCTCTGGTGCTCGGAGCAGCCTTCGCCCCAGAGCAGCTTTCTTGAGCCGAAAGAGCAGTGATGGGGGACACGAAGAGTGCTGCCCGCATGGTGCCCAACTTTCCCTGGGCTTGAAGCTGCAGCATAGCGGCGTAGCGAGCACATGCGAGCGGTGTTTCCAGTAATTGTGCGTAATCTCCAGCGATTTTCAGTCGAGAGCTTTCGAGAGAGAAGCTGAAGCCTCAATTCCTACTAGTCGAACACACGAGACGAGAAGTCCGCCACGGGTGGCGATGTCCGCCACGGGCGGCTCAGGCCCTGGGGATGGAGAGTTTCGGTCTGGTGAAGTTGCGTGCTGCGAAGGGCTCCTGTCGCTTCAAAGAGGCGAAGTGGGGCACCATGAGAGCTACATGCTCTGCGAGTCTTCTGCCGAGAAGAACGATGCGCAGGCGCCTGAAGCGAAGTAGCGAAGCGAAGTCCGTTTCGGCGCTTTTGGCGGCTTCCCTGCGCGCCGCGGGCGCCTGCAGGGATGCTCCAACTCCACTCCTCTGAGCCAGTGGGCGAGCAGGGCCTCGCAGGCCGGGCCGAGGCCTGCGGATCTCTGCTTGGCCTGCGCTGTTCGGCCAGGACAGGGTGAAATCTCCCAGCGGCGAGGCGACCCCAAACCGCCTCACGGTGCCTGGAAGCCCCACTGCGACCGTGCCTGCCCTTTGGCTCCTTCAGAAGGAAAAGTAAGTCCGGAAGGCTTTCAACTTCAGGCTTGGAGCATCTTGGAGCATCTTGGAGCCACTGGAGCCTTGCCTCCGAGGCACTTATCGAGCCTGTGGTGTCCATGATGACCCTCGGAGTGCATTATGTACAGGGTTGCAGGGCTCTGACGACAGGCACGGCCAAAGAGCCAGAACTTGAGTTTTTACAGCACGAGCTTAGTCAAAATAGAGTGCAAGTCTGGGCCGGAAGAGTTCGAGGCAATTTTGGGGGCCTGCTGATGATGATCATGATGGTGTCGGGATGGCCGGAAGCATGACGACAACGGCGGCGCCGTAACTTCTGTTGCTTATGTTGGGCATTTATGATGGCAGCTATGGTGAAGAGGAGATAACCACGGCGAGTCGAGGTGTTTGGGCATTGGTCCGAGTCTTGAACAACCCTGCAACGAGCGGCCGGGCGGTGGCCGAGCGCACCAATCGCAGGATTATACCCCGAAGCAACGAGCATGTGAAGCTTCACTTCTAGGCTGCTCAAGGCACCGGTTTCATCTCAGGAATGGAGTGACGAGAGTGTTTTGACCTCTAGGATGGACATCTCCGAGCAGCTCAACGCGCTGGCCGAGCTGAAACGCTCCATGGCAAGGCTGGGCCCTAAGCGAGGCTCTGAGAGCGCCGAGAGGCGCCAGAGGAAAGCGGCAACCGCGAAGCCTCGTTTAAATAAAGCTTAGACTGCATCAGCCGAAGTTGCCCTTGACCTGCAGGGTCGAAACTGCCCAGCAGCGAATTGAAACCTTGGCTGAGACGGGGTCTTGGGAAGAGGTCTTCGGATTTTTGAGCCTCGTGTTCCAGTCCTGCCGTTGGTGTTGACACTGGCCGGACTTGTCGTGCTTGTGTGTGTTTGTGGGTGTGTTTGTCATTGTCGATGCAGAGGCTTGCGGGACCTTCGTGGGATTTGGGCTCATTTGCCATCTCCACCGAGGAACTGGCGCTCTCGTATCAGGGTGGAGCTATGCAGGAGGTTGCGCACATAGTATCTTGGTGTGGATTCAGGAGTTTATATAATCATTGACTTCAATGTAGGCGACCTTGCGTCTGATGCATCATGAGATGCCATTTGGTCTGTTCTGCATCATGGGCATCAGTAGGCCCTCTGTGACAGGTGTTGCCTCCTGCAACACAGCTTCAGCGAGAACTCGAGAGTGAGTTCAGAAAGTGGTTGACTCTATCAGTACTGTCCCCATCTGACAATGGCTTGGGCATTGGAGCCTTGGAGGCTTGTGCGTGAGTGTGCCGCGTCGGTGCTGACGGGCAGACTTCTACCAAGCTGCGGACTGCAGCAGTGGGAGTGCTGCGTCCAACACCCGGGGCATGCAAGCGACTTTGGAAAACCGACGTCCGACACGGAAAAGATGAGAACAGAGCTTGAATCTGAGGTCTCGAACAACAACAGCCGCTCTCGCCAGCCAAGCGTCGACCACGACGGCAGCATGGCCAGCCAGCTGTCGCACCCTGCCAGGAAGACTTGGCAGTTGCGTGGGCACTTATTTGAACACCAATCTGTGGCTTCGGGCACGCTCGCCTGTAGCAGCTTCAGGTACAGGGCAACCCCCTTCTTGACTGGTTCTCTGCTCTCCCTCGTCTCTCGCTCCCTTCTCTTTTTCAGCCCAAGTGCCGACGCTTCCTGAAGGTCGGGTGTCTCTGGCGGAGGACAGCCGCTGATCCTAACTTGGCATCAGAGTGCCCAATTCGGCAGCAGGGTAACGGGTCTTTGCACACTTGCGGCACAGTTGCGTTGCTGGACACTGTACGTGGGCGTTGCCTCATCTGGGGAGGGCCATCTTTGCAGTCTAGATTCTTAGTCCGCGGCGGGAGATTAGCGCTTTGCGAGGTCGAAGACAGCACAGCAGGTGTTGCTGCCGCCGGCACCAGCTCTTCCAGGCGAGCCACGTCAGGGCCGCTGCGCATCGCCTGCACTTCCGGCGCCTTGCGAGGTCAACCGCCTCCCGCGCACGAGCTCCCAGACTTCGATCCATTGCCATTCGCCCCCCGCGCCCGCAAGAGAAACATGCACATGGACAAAGTCTCGGGGCTTCGCAATCCGCATGCCAAACTCACATTCGGGCTCGAAGAGGCACCGTCTGCCCGAACCACTGATCGAAATGCATGGTGTTGGTGTTGGGGTGGTATTAGTAAACAGTACCGGCAGCAATAGTAGCAGACGTAGCAAAGACACTGGCGCCAGTCAGCAATAGTAGTAGTAGTAGTAGTAGTCGTCGTCGTAGTACTTAGTGGTAGTGGTAGTGGTGGTAGTAGTCGTCGTCGTCGTCGTTGTCGCCGAAAAAGCAGTAGCAATAGCAGCATCAGTAACAGCTGCAGCAGCAGCAGCGGTAGCTGGAGCTGAAGCAGGCGGGGCAGGAGCGGGAGCATTAGCAGAAGCCACATGCAGCAGTTTTGGCAGATTTCGTCTTCCTATTGTGGTGGTGGTGATGATGGTGGTGGTGGTCGCGTCGTCGCCGTCGTCTTCCTCAATGTCGTTGGTGCAACAGTACCAGTTCTTTCGAAGAAAAAGCCCCGTACTTAGCCAGTACGAGTAGAAGCAGTAGCGCTACGGTGGCTCCTGGTTATGGTTTCGCAGTGCTGCTGCCGAGTTTTCTGTGCAGGATTCTTGCACTTTCCATAGCAGTACCACCTGTTGCAGGACTATAGTGGCAAAGGTCCAGGAATCTTGAAGAAGGCCAATCATGCATCAATGGTTCGAGAGTCTTCCAGAAAGCTGATCTTAGGAGGCCAGTGTCGAGGAAGCTGTTCCTCATTCAAGCGCCCACGTTCTCGGCCTGCCATCAGGCCCTGTTCGTCGGTGTTTTCTTGTCCGAGGCTTCGCACAGAGCTAGGACTGAGCTTTTTTCCCGGAGAGGCTGTCGGCGCAGCGCGCGAAGTCACAGCCGACAAAGTGAAGGTAGCAGGATGAGCAACACTCCCAGCGTCAGATCTGAAGCTTGACTGGAACTGTGAATGCGGGCATCACCCCCTACCCCACTCCTGGCATCACTTGCACTTGTCCTTGCCACTTTGGGCGAGAGTTTCAGAAGGAAGCTTGAACATCATGCAAGGCTTTCTGGAGACGGATCACATTTGTTTAGTAGGTATCCTAGTTGCGGACACACAGCCCGAGCTATGGGTGGATTTCACGGATCTGCAGACATTAGCAAGTGTTCGCGATTGCAGCGCATTCTCGAGGATCGGGGAGATGGTGTACAGTCCCGCGCCTTCGGGCAGTTCATAGCGAAGCGACGCGGGCCTTTGGCGAGCCAGCTGCTCTGCCAGGATCACGAGGAGGATCACGAGGGTTCTTCGACAAGCGGGCAAGGTCACAGGGACACTTTGGTCCCTTTCGATGGCTAAGTTTGACACGTTAAGGTCAGGCAAGCATGACGGTTTTGTAGTTGCGCCGCTCGCCGCCATTAAGTCTCGAGCAGCTTAAGGTATGGCATGATGGAGGAGTTGGAGGAGCACATGGGACAGAAGCTCTTGCACAGGCGCACGAGGGAGGGCCGCCGGGCTGCCGGCCCGGGGGCGATTTTCCCCGCGCCGAGGCCGCACCGTGGACGTGCCGGGCCAAAGGGCCGCAGCCGAGGCCACGCTGGCGCCTTGCTGCAACACGAACTTCGGCCGCCCCCGAAATTCCCAGAGAGAGCGAGGACTTTTTGTTGTTTCGCGGTCTTCCGCGCTGGCAAGGCAGTCCGGTGATTCCCTCCGTCCCGGTCCCCGTGCCGGTGCCGCTCAGGGACAAGAAAGCTCGAGCCGCTTCACAGGCCCTTTGGCCCTTTTCTGGACCGTCAGGGTGCGACAATCCAAAGCAGAGCCACCATTGCCTACAGCCATGGTCTGTTCCAGATGTGTTGTTGTTGCCTCGACAGCGACTGTACCGTTTCAGATTGCTTCGGTTCTTCCAAGAGCTCTCCGCATGAGGACTCTTCGTATCCATCTGCAGACAATTCCGTGGGAAGGAAACAGTCCAGGCCCGGAAATCGCCGCTTCTGTTCGCACCAAGCTGTTGCAAGGCCCCCCACTTTTTGCCTGCAGAAGGGGTCTCTAAAGTGAAGCGACTCGCGCCTCTGGTGTCGGAGGCGGGTCCCGACACTGACGAGCAGACCAGGCAGCCAGGGGCGCGACAAGAACAATCTGTTGAAGGACCCCTTGCTCCGCATTGCGGAAGAACTGACCACAAAAGACTGGGATACTTCCGCTTCATACATTGCAGCACCTGCCGAGAACTGGGTACTTTCGAACGGGTCATTCTCAAACGCTGGCAAGGATTGTCAATCTCTCGATGCCTTGCAGAACCAGCGCTTTGGCATATCAGTTCGGGGTTTGACACATGATTCGACAGTGGCAAGGCTTCCAGCTGCGATTTGGCGGTTTGGGCGGAAGCGGGTTGCGAGGGAGATCGGGCAGAGGTGGTGTACGGATTTGAGAGGTCGGCCAGCTGTTGCCAGTCAGAAGTAAGAGGTCGCGCCCGGGCGAGTTCGGCCGAAGCTGCAAAAGCCATGAGAACTCTGGTGCATTGCCGCATGGAAGGCACCTGCTCCAGAGGTCAAAGGTCCGTGAACTCTTCGGAAGCCATGCTGCGATTAAAACACAAGGGATTGTTGCCTTCCAGGTATGATGCCTCTGTGGTCGCAACGCCTAAATCAAAGCGGCCACCCCGCTGGGAGGCCACTGCGACTTGAGTGTAGTGAGACCTCCGCAGAGTGCTGAGAGGGTTGGGGCCTTCTGAGCCGAGACTTGCCTGTCAGCCGCCTTAGCCAAGCTTCGATGCCCAGGACGCCGGCTGCAGCGTGCCGCCCGTGTCACTGCCATCGTTAGCATCGAAGTTGTCGAAGCAGTCGAAGCAGCTCGTATCGCAGATCATGCGTTCGTGGATAGTGCGACCACTGACCATATGACGTCAGTTCAGCATGCAAGCGCATCGCATCCGTTGCAGCACAGGCACGTAGACACGCAAGCAGAAGTGGCACGCAAGCGATTTTGAAGCACTACGATCGCCCGTTGTTAACACTAATGGTCCACAACTCCCTCCCTTTCTTGAGGACGGTGTTTAGGGAATCCTCTGCCGCCCTGTCGGTGTGGGTGAGTTGGGCTTTGGCTCTACACAGTCAATCCTCCCTTCTGTGACTGTGGGTCATGTGGCTTCAAGCTAAGATCCGACAACAGCCATGAAAAACCGCGACCCTGAGTGACTCATCTCTCTGACTGTCTGGAACTTTGAAGATGTCGGAATGGCATGAAGATCCGGAAACAACAAGAGTTGGCAGGATTTGTGACTGTTCCGCCTCTTTCAGATTTCGCTGTGATCTATCGAGATCCCAACACGGCAACACTTATGTGTATTTCAGCCACCATTCACTTTATCCTTGTAACTTGCGGTTTTGAGATGGGCCGTGCAAGGGCGGTTGCCTGTCGCCTCTTGTGTTTACAAACCTGTTCGAACTACAATGGCATCAAGGAGGACAATCTCTACATTGACCCCGACCCTCGACGGAAAAGGAAGTTTGGCACAAACACCGACGCACAGAAAGCTTTTGGTTTGTTGGTGGCACCACTACAGCGGTGTTCAAACCAAGTGTAAATGCGTCGGGCCAGATCGTATTCCAGAACATGTTTCCGCGTACTGCACTTCGATCCTAGAGAAGGCCCTGGCTGGAATGCCCAGCCTGAAAGCGAGCGACTGCCGGCCCTAGGTTGCTTAATCCCAGTATCTGCCTTTGTTCGGTGAGCCGTTTTGCATCCTTCGAATAGCTGGTACGCGCACGACTTGGAAAAGCAGCTGCGCAGACGACCAATGGATGTTTCCATGTTCACATGGCAGAATCAAGAATGGTGGTGTCCGGCGCGCTGCTGTTCAAGTATGCGAGTTCGGAAGAACATCAGGGTGACTCCGACCATGAGCATGCGAGACCCGTTCCGGCTGCTACGAACTACTCTACTGGCGCACACCCGCACAAGCATGCCCGCTGCAACCACTCAGTCAAGAACACCAGCCGATGAACATCTATGAACAGCAGCAACAGTCCACTGTGGCGAGTGCAAGTTCTTGCTCTGAGAGGGAGTCTAAGGTTCCACGAGGCATTTGGAGGCCACGTTTCAAATGCTGGCTGGTAAGTAAAAGCCGGACCTCAAGCGTGGGCGAACTTTTTGATGTCGGCACCTTCTTGCCAATCCTGTCGACATGTTTGTGGCTCAGGCAGCGACTCACCCAGCAACATGAAGCGTATAGTTGCACTGCAGACAAGGCATTCCGAAAGGAGTCGCCGGCCAAAGCTGAACTCGGCTTGGCCCCGAGAAGCTTGGTTGTGAGACTGGGCAGCAGACACTAGAGCATGGGCTTGTTCTAGACGAATAATGCTCGAAGTCGTGCATGGGCCGACATCACGAAGCTCATGGTTGAGCTAGAGATGCTAGAGAGATCAGAAATGCTTGTCGTGAGCTTTCGAGGCATGTGCCTCATGGGCATTTTGGATTTCCGCGAGGGCATCCTTCCGCGGCTTGCGCCCTGGCGAGAGAACGGTGCGTGCCGTCGGTTTCAGAACATCGGAGACATCAGTTGCCGTTAAACTGCCGTCACAGAGCTTTTTCCTGTTTCATCTTGAACATCCGCAGCACCAGAAACGTCTGGTCTGTTGTCTCAAGGCAAAAGTCTCAGAATTCAGTGCATTCCTCGACCGTTTCCCCGAAGGGGTGCCCGTTGTTTTCTGGACATGTAGGCTTTGCGCCCAGAGTGAGTCTCCGGAGCCTCGCTCGCCTCGTTTCCGAGTTTGCCTTCTTCATGAACTGCATTTGGCCTCTGATGCTGGGGGTGGCCATGGTGTACCTGTGCCTCGGCTCAAAGCTCCAAAAAACGCGAAACGAACGCCGAACTGACTTCAGCCCCCCCCCCCCTGTGTTGTCCGACACGACAGACTTTGACTTGCACGACCCCAGTTTCTATTCTCGCCAGTAGATGACAGAAAGATGTTTGATGTTGTTCCAACACGCCATGTCCATAGGGTTGCACTCCAGAATCTCATATACACATCAGTCGACCAGGGAAAATTAGTTTACGAAGCCAGTTGCCGGGTCGAAAGAAGCTTCCATGCCCAACTTCGTGAGTCCAGGGACCAGCAGAACGCCTTAGCAGTTCCACGTGATGTGTCCGCGGAGTTCAAAAAGGAGATGGGGCGGAGAAGCCGATTCGTGAGACAGCCCCCAAAAGCAAAGCTACCAAAGGTTCCAAGGTCTTCAGGGAGCCATTTACCCAGTTTGAGCACAGTCTTCGAGAGCACAACAAATCCAAAACAGAAGTTCGAAGGTGTTCAAAAGGTCGTGGCACTCTCCAGGAATATGCTCACTTGCGGTGAAGTTTCGTTTCTCATATCGTCCCCCAAAGCGTGTTCGATTCCTATCCACCCCACCGCACGCGCATCCAATTCCGAACTGTCCCACCCCACGCACGTTCGAGTCCCAGCCCTCTGACTGCCAAGCACTCAAGCCAAGTTTAAGGTCCCTGCGCCAGTTGGGGTTCCAGGGGAACGGGGGCTACCGAGCTTGTATGTGATAGTGGCCTTCAGTGCGTTGCAGATCGGGACAATTTCAATACATATCGCTTGTTCGGGAGGGCTTCGAGAAACCCTGTCGGACTGGGCTAGGTCTATGGTTTCTCTACGGTAGGCGAGACGTCCGGCTTCGATGTAGGCGGTTCCTCCTTTCGTAAACATAAGCGCGTCCTTGTGGAGCAGTATTGGTTGTTAGCCTTCCAAACTCGGTCCCACTCGACGGCTTGAGCCAAGGTGGGTACGCAATCCCGAGCCAGAGGTTTACGACGTGGCCACACTTGGCTCTTTGGCAGACATGCTGGTTGCTGCGGTCGTGGGCCTCACATAAGCCATCCCATCCTGGCTAGTCGACGTGTGCATGTTCCAACCTTCACATCTTCAGGTGCCTGTCCGGACCTTGAACGGCTCGGATACATTACATGTGACCGATAGAAGTGCATTGCCTTCCCAATGCAGACATGCAGCACCAGGTTGCTTTGGCCTTGGCGGCGTCATTGCCACACTTGCCCTGCGACGATGCTTGCTTGGTGGTGAAGGGCTGTATATTGTAGTTGGATCCTGTTAGCATTCGGGAAACCGCGTTTCTTCGACCATGCTGCTCCTTTCTGGGCACACAACAAAATAGCATGGATTCTAGGCAGTGGGTCAGTGGGATGCATTTTTGTCGTCCGGCTCTGACTCACTTCCAGGTCCCTGGGAGCTCATGAGCGGTTCAGATATAGCTGTAGCTGTGACCCATGGGCTCTTCTGTGATTCGATGTCAGAAGACCATAGCCATGGCCTTAAGCTGCCTTTGGACGGACAGTGCTGATCACGCTCGTGCGAGCGCGAATCACGAGCCTGCTGAGGACGGGGCCTTGCAAGGCTCGTTGGCCCTGTCGAGACAAGCCTTGATGACTACGCCGCAGCCCCGCGGCGTCATTCAGCATCCAAGGAGTTCCCTCGTCCAAGCTAGGCAGCTACGCATTCATCCGTCGGAGGAAGTTGGCTTCCTCGCAGACTGGCTGAAGCTTTCGCGCCGGCGATTCTGGATCCTGCTGGTGCTTCAGTTGGTTCCCTGGGCATGAAGAAAGGTGTTCACTTCGAAGGCCCGACTTCGGAAGCCTAATGGACGGCATGGTCATGGATCTGCGATTTCGACGCAGCAGTTACAATGAGTTCATGTCTGCTGAGTGTTGGAGGCCTGTGCTAGGTGGGTGAGGCTAGCAGGATGGTTGGTGTTGTCTGCTTTGTGTTGAAATTGAGGTGACAGTGTCGACACGAAGTGTCTATATCTACGTTCTCAACGTCGATGACGACACCACCGAAGCACCGCTGCTGATAATGCTTCTCTGCTCGACCAAGGGGCGTGGGTCATAGTAATTCCGGACTGGGGCTGTTTCTTCTGTAGGGAGGCTGTCAAGAAGGCAGCAGCCTCGCGAACCCCTGATGCAAGGATGGTCACGCTGTTCACTGCCGTGAGCGCGCGCAATGCTGGCGCTTGTTACTCGCTGGTACACCTCTGCAGCTCAGCTTGGCAAGTGGAGAGTTGGCAGGGCCGCACAGTGACAGCAGAGCGCTGAGCTGACAGCGGTGTGCCAGTTGCGACTTGGGACGGTCCGGCCTCGTGCAAGTAGGCTGGGTCGTGCAACAATCCACTCCAGGCTGTGGCCTGGAGTTGGCTATCGACAGCTTTGCACTGCGTTTCTTCAAAGACATGGACTTCGAGCAAGCCCTGGAGGCCTGGAGAGTCTGGAGAGTCTCAGGATCTTCAGCTTTCGAATGCATGGCAGATTCCATAGTCAAGAGCTACTCATGTGCAAGCCATCCACTAGTACCGAGTGCCAAATCCAGCCTGATGGGCATCAGTTGAATCCCTGGCTTTGACCAGCTGTCACATTGCAGAGACAGCTAGGCCGAGGCAACATCGCACTTGCGATTGGGCTTGAGAAGCTTGGTTTTAGCAAATTCAACTCTCGCATCTCTCACCGGAAATGCTGGCCAACCCGCATGGCTTCCAAGGCGCATTTGCCACGGTAAGTTCACGGACGTGGTTGACGACATTCCCACATCTCTTGACAACCCTGTCACTGTGCACTCCAGGACTGGAACGAGGTCCAAGCAACGTTGAGGCGCGGATACCGACCCTGAAGGCATTTGCAGTCCATGAGCTGCTACCTGCATTCTGCACCAGGCAGGTGTCGACAAAGCTGAGTGATAGCTTTATTGCTTTGGCGGCTCTTGGACAGCACTTGTGACCTCAGTTGCTCTCACGACAGCTTCGGGTACGGAAGTGCGACGATTTGGGCCTCTGGCCAGGGAATGTATCTTGTGTTCAGGCATGACTTCAGCCGTATTGAAAGCTCTCCAATGCCGGAGTTGTAGTTCCAAGCAATGCAGTAATCGCCTGAGTGGGATGTATTAGTATAGAACCCTGCTGTCATGAGTTCCAGCCGCTAGGAGGGCTTCCCCCGAAGTGTTTTATCCTCTGGCAAGCTTTGCAGTCTTGCCTCTCGCCGGCCGCTATGGCGTGTGCGTCTTTCCCATCTCACTCCCTGGTTGTAATGAGGCAGGCTGCGTGGGGGCCCTGGTTTTCTTCGCCGAGCAAGCTTTCCGCCAGCCTGTGTCATGGCCGGCATGGGTAAACTGTGTGATGAGTGTATGTCCGTGGCAGCAGCTCTGTAGAGATCTGCTTGCTAGGATCTGCTCTTGGGGGGATTTTTTGTTGGGGCACTTTTTTTTTCTTATAGCGCAAAGAGGCGGGAGCCAGCGGAAGCGGTCTCCTTGGCCCAGGAGTCGCTGCGGCTGAGCTACCGGAGCGCCCTCTGGATTGGCTGGCTCCCTGGCCCCCCTGGCCTATCTTTCTTTAAAGAGAAGAAAACGAGGAACACCGCCAGAGACTGCAATGCTGTTTGCATCTTCAATCTTGAACTGGGAGCCTTTGCGCAGCAGCACCCCCGGTGGGAGCAGTTCAAGTTGTGCTTTTGTCACTTGTCGGCCATATAGAACAGATTACGCAGAAGTTCAGCTGCAACGTGCGAGTTTCTCACCTCTCGTTCGACCTTCAGCCTTGCCGCCGTGTGAGGCTCTACCCACCGTTTATGATGCTCGGGTATGTGCCTGGCTCTCGAAGTGGGGTTGAATTACTTAAAGCCTCGAGCCTGAGGGTAGAGTCGGTTCGTGACTTCCTGGATGTGAAAGATTACGATCATTACGAGCAGCCCCAGCTTGCGCATGTCCGACTCGGAGTCGCGTGTGTGCAACCTGCAACCACCAACACTCAGACGCCGGCAGACAGCTTGGAGCAGGCATCTACTAGCAACCTTAAGTGCAGGGATTGATAGATGTGACAAGGTTCCGAATTTTCAAAAGCAAGACAGTCGGCAGCAGTTGTTAGTCCTAGTCCTTCTGGTGACAGAGGAGTGGCAGTACAACCGTAGCAAGTCAGAGCAACTTCAGTAATTTTCGTAAGAGGATGCAGTGTGGGTTCTGGTACAGGCGCTGCTGCGGGCCGCAGCTGTCACCGAAAAGGCGAGCCGTGTTGCGCCGCTGGTGAACTCGTGGAAATTCCAGGCTGCTTGGGACGCGTACATTATTGGGATGATTATTATTGGGTCTGTTTCTGTGTTGCACCCTGCGCCTCTTATGTGACAGTCGAAGAGGAGGAGCGGAGTTTCAGGCCTCATTGTAATGTCTCCTGTCCTTGTCGCAGTGCGTGGACACTGCACGATCGCATGTATCTGCATGTTGTGCCCCCATGTGCTGTGCAGGATACTGAGGATGATGCAGCGGCGTCCAAGAGACTGCATGGAATGTGTTCACGGTGGGACTGTTTCAGTGGGATCTGCTTGTCAGAGAGTATATAATTCATAAGGCTTCAAAGGTTTTGGCCTGCCAAATATGATTCAACGAAAGCTGAGGCTATGGATGGACACCGACAGGCAGTATGTGGCGGCTTGGCATTTGCACATGTCGGGGTGTGAGAGGCCCAGAAGCATACGGTCGTACTACAGTTATCTACAGTTACTGCGGGCTCGGTTATAGCAGCCAGGCATGGCAGCATCTAGTTGTCGTGATTGTGTTGGGATGTGGAGTGCTTTCCGGACATGCCCTCCCGCGCCCGGATCGTGCGCGATTCAGCGGGTCACATTCAGGGATGCGAGCAGCACAGTCCCGTGGCTCAAAATGGCGGGCTCTTTTCTGGGCGAGGAACGGAGGTTAGTCTATCGGTCTATCTTTGGAGATGTCAGAAGTACTACAGCGAGGTCCAATACATCATCCAGAGCCAAGCTGGCTTCTACATGAAAGGCGTCCGGGTGAATGCCTTCAGCGTGCAAAAAATTGGCTACTACTTGGCAGCTTTGCTCAATGAGAAGCAGTGAATACAAGTCTCGGACCCAGGGTGGCTCGTTATCAACCGGACGAAGAGGTTTGGTGTGTTGGGCAGTCGAAGGCTTGAAGGCAGGATCCGGCAGAGTACAGACAAGCGGTGCAGCACCAGCAAAACGTGCACGACTCTTTCGACTAGGTCAGCCGTTGCACTAAGGCTGCTGCCACGCTTGGTCTGCTTTCCAGGGCAGGCTGAGGCACTCTTGCTGCGCGTTCTCACACTTGTTTACAAGTTGCGGGATGGGAGATGATGAGATGCTCGGTTCTGCAAGACTGTAGTCAGATGTGTGATAGGTTCTTTGCTTTCACAATCTAGATTGTGGAGGTGACGTGGGTCGAAGGGTCGAGGAGAGCTTCTGGGGTGACTGCAGAACCAGATAATTGAAACCTGGTTGTGCGAAGCCTTTCTGTTTCTCTGCAGTGGGGGTCACGGAACTAGTCGCCGGTGCCCTGCTGCAGGTCCAGCTCTTCGTCGCGAGTCAACGATGGCTAGAAGTGCGAACATCTCGTCGCGCCATCCTGAACTCCTGAACATAGCTCCTCTTTTTCAAGCCCGATGATAAAGCATTGCGGTACGACTAAATGTCGACTGCGGCGATGTCGAAGATCATCGCCGTGATTCATTCTTCTTGGAACGGCGGTGAGTGATGATGCATTGAGTGTTGTGTATGCAACATGTGAAAATCATACATCAGAACATCTCACTTCGCAAGTTGGGGAATCATCGCGCTCACATGCGATGTCACCATAATGGTGAAGTGTTTGGGTCTGTAAAACTGCAGTGCTGCATGGGACCGGGTTGTTGTGGGGTTGTGGCTGTTTCTTCAACATGCAGGTTCTCCTCATCAGCTACCAGTGCTCTGCCGCGTCGTAACAGCAGGTGGTTGTGTTGAGCAACTCCTCCACTCCTCCATTGTCATGTCGTTGACGAAGCCGTCTGCGCAGTTCGTCTCATGTGCTCTCAACGCACTGGTCATGCAGTATACTGTACTATCAGAAGACGAGGCACTTGACGAACACTTCCGCATGGAAGTGGTCCTCAGCAGCAATAGCTGTCACCACGATGATGACGACGACTACTGCTACTGCTGCTGCTACTGCTTCTGCTCCTGCTCCTGCTGCTCCGTCTACTACTACTACTACCACCACTACTACGACGACGATGGCTACTACTGCTACCACTACCTACTACTACTACTACTACTACTACTACTCCTGCTGCTGCTGCTGCTGCTACTACTACTACGACGACGACGACGACTACTACTACTACTCTACTACTACTAGTACTACTACTACTACTACTACTACTACTACAACTACAACTACAACTACAACTACAACTACAACTACAACTACTACTACTAGTACTCCTGCTGCTGCTGCTGCTGCTACTACCACTACCACCACTACTACCACTGCTACTGCTACTGCTGCTGCTATTGCTTCGACAACAGCTACTACTACTACTACTACTACTACTTCTACTACTACTTCTACTACTACTACTTCTACTACTACAACTACCACTACCACTACCACTACCACTACCACTACCACTACCACTAGCACTACCACTAGCACTACCACTCCCACTACCACTCCCACTACCACTAC